TCACCTAAGTGACAACCACTGGACAGTTAAGTCCAATTGAATTCGACTATGGGTGCAGCGGTCATCTCGCTTTCAGGCCTAGGGAGCCAGCATTTGTCTGTAAACAGCTTTTCATGTTGGCAGCATGACTAAAGTGCTTCTGGTGCAACAGAACACCGTAACAGAAGCCAGAGCGCATGGAAACGCCGTTTATCTTCCTGCCACAGTGGTACCTATTTATCTACTCACGCTGGTATGCTTTCGAACTGCTAGGTTTGCAGGAGCTGGGACACAGCAACGGGAGCTCACCTCGTCATGTGGATTCAAACTGCTGACTTGCAATCAGTGAGCCCAAGAGGTTCAGTGGTTGAGACCACAGCACCACCTGCATCCCACAAGTTGTCACCTAAGTCTAGCCATTAGTATAACAAAGGACGCTGTTCTGTGCCAAAGGACAATTGGGTGGGCTCCTTGCCTTCCCTTGCCTGGCTAGTAGTGAGAAAGACAAAGGCCAGAGTTTTGCATGTGAGCTGAACTGGAAGGAGGCAAGAAGCCTGAGAGTGAGAGTGGAAATCTGTACATTTGAAGCAGCAAAGAAATAATCTGTACCAACCTCTTTCTGACATTCATCCAATAGATAGTGCAGGTACCGCTCCAACTTCAGTCCTACTACCAGCAGTACCAAAACTGAACACAAGGAGGGGAAGGTTAGACACAACACATTTCCCCCCTAAATTGATTTTTGAATTCTGAATTTATTGTTATTCACACTTTATACTGTATTTTATGCTGTTTTTTGTTGCATCAATTGTTTTAAATTTGTTGTTAGCCGCCCTGAGCCCAGTTTTCTGAATTATTATTTATTATTATTTCTCACTTGCTTTTAATAGGTTTTGCTGTGACTACTGTCTCTCACACACTTCCACTTATCCCATGCCTAGAAGGCACAGGTCCTAGCAGTTTTGTCTCTGTCCTTCTGCTTTCCCCTGAGAAACCCACTCTTTACCACTAAATTGGAACAAATTGCAATCCATGGAAAACCCAATTGTCATTGGTTCTGATTCAGCGCTAAACCGCGGGTTTTCCAGAGGGGCAAATGGAAGTGTGGATGAGCCCTACAGGTTTCATTATTACATAATAAAATATTGAACCCCACCTGCCTCACCAGCCTTTCCAGTGCAGCTCTTCCCTACAGAGCATTTGTCTGAAAGGAGTTGGGGGGGAAATGTGGCCTCCTTATCAGAGAAAAGGGCATCTTGCTCTTTCCCTTTAACTCAAGCACTACATCATAAGGTTATACATGATAACAGAAAGGAAGTCAACAGCGATGTGTCATATTTATAATGAAGAGAAATCAAGAAATAGCAAATCCCTACACACAACCAGAGCAATAGGTCCTGATGTCAGCAAATCTTTCAAGAGAATGATTTTTCAGGCTTAGGTGAAGGGAAATTGTTTTCTCATAAATATACTCTAGGCTCTCTCCTCCACATATCGGAGCAGGACACAGAGAGAGAAATACAACTCAGGAAACATAAATTAATTTGTCAGGTATTCATATCATAAGTGTTTCAGTTCCTCAACACCCACCAACTGAGACGTATTTTCTTGGCTCATAATCATTGCACAGTGATCCTATTCCATCTGTTCTACCAAAAAATAAGCTCATGGAAAACCTTGGCTTTGGTAAGAAGAGTGCAGCAGATGGTTCATGTGAAGCTGGTAAATAATTTTCCTAGTTTGCATAAATAGTATTAATGTAATTTTGATTCAAGAATTGGGTGTGTTCTTTGAATTCCAATAGCTGAGACCTATAGAGTCAACCTCCTTAGGTTCCTTGCTAAACTACACAGCTCCTTAAAAACTAGGGAAGTATTTGAAAATATGGCTTGAGAGAAGAAAGCCACTTAAGAGTATGTTCCAGTTACTTTTTTTATGCCAATTCACTTGAGATAACAATTTGAATTCCAACCCAATTCAAGAATGGATTGGGCTGTCGGGTTCAAGGTTCATTACAATATCTGTACTGAGTCATTTTCTACTGAAATCTGTATCATAGAATCATAGAATTGCAGAGTTGGAGGGTCCTGATGTGTAAACTCTGCATTAACCATAGCTACTATTACAGAAATATTTAATTAATAGAGCTAATGCTATGTGTGAGATGTATTAATACAATGAATGTATGTTTGATGAAAACTAATAAAAAATTAAGTTGGGGGGGAAAGAAATATTTAATTTCCGTACGTGTTTTCTCATAAAAATGTATGAAAATCTTAAAAGCTGAGTTACTCTCTACACAGTGCAACCTTAAGTGTGTTTACTCAGATTAACAAACACTGTTTGATAAAACTTACTCTGAAGAAAGTGAGTTTAGGATTGCAACCTTTATGAAATTCCTCATTTCATTTGGATTGGAGCTTTTTATGCTGATAAAAAAGCTAATGCAATTTTGACCTAAAAATAGTACAGTAATTGCTTCCCTTAAAGGTAAAGGTCCAGTCACTTCCCTTAGGTCCAGTCATGACCGACTCTGGGGTTGCGGTGCTCATCTCACTTTATTGGCCAAGGGAGCCGGGGTACAGATTCCGGGTCATGTGGCCAGCATGACTAAGCCGCTTCTGGCGGACCACAGCAGCGCACGGAAACGCCGTTTACCTTCCCGCTGGAGCAGTACCTATTTATCTACTTGCACTTTGATGTGCTTTCGAACTGCTAGGTTGGCAGGAGCAGGGAGCGAGCAATGGGGGCTCACCCTGTTGTGGGGATTCGAACCACCGACCTTCTGATCGGCAAGTCCTAGGCTCTGTGGTTTAACCCACAGCGCCACCCACACCCATTGCTTCCCATACCCAACAGCAATTCACCATTTACTTCTCACCTTCAATGAGTAAATCCAGTACACTGCCATCTTCCACAGTTTGCAATATCTCTGTTAAGATCAACCCACAGATTAATCACAATTATTTTTTGTAATCTATACTGGGGCTCCCATCTGTAACAAAATTGAACTTCCTTCTTAGTAATCATACACAGGATTGTGCTGCAGGGCTTAGAATTTTTTATGAAGATCATAGGGGCAGAGGAGAAAGATACGTTCTTCCAGCATTATCACATTTCCCCTTTTGGTAACCCTATTCTAGGTGTCATGAACCTGGGCTTCTGGTTAGGAGAGTCACAGCTCTTGAGTAGCAGGAAACAAGATAAATCAGCTGGGAGAGTTTAGAATGTGGTATATCTGGGGGTTAGAATTGCACCCAGGGTCAGCCTTTTAATGAGGCAATATGAAACAGTTCTGTTTCAGCTGGCAAGATCCACAGGGGCAGCAGATCCAACCATCCAACAGATCAACTGCTGCTGCTGCTGCTGCTGCTGCTGAAGAAAGGAGAAGTGGCTGTGCCTATGGCTTCTAGCCTCACTGATGTGGAGCAAAGGTAAGGAAATGAATATATTTGGCACCAGCTTGGCTGCAGGAACTGCCAGGAGGCATACAAGGCGCCATCCAATTATCTTAGGGACTCCACTCCAGATTTGTGTAGTGTTTACTCCATAGACTTTTCTTCTCCCAGAGACATCCCTCAAGGCAATGGGGATGGATTTTTCCTCAGGGATTACTCCCAAAGCCATTCTCACGAATGAGTATAACCAGGGGTGTACAGAAACCACAATATTAACTAGCACATGTATTGTTCCAATTTGCTTCATTATTAAGGTGCAAATCTGATCTGTTAAATCCAAAGCTCTGTTTCACCCCTCTTGACTCTAATGGGAAATCCAAAAATGGCTATAATTTTTCTTTCTTATTATGTAAGTAGATGAAATTCACAGGGAGAAAATGTGTCCGTCTAAACTTCAACATCCTTCCCCAAATCCCTATGATTGGAATGCACTTGGAAAATAATTGTGATTAACAGTTAGACCAACAGTTGTTATTTACCAGGGGCAGAGGAAAAGAATAGACATGTTAAACACAATCACACATTTAACATTCTAGTTTGGCCTTTCCATCAGCTTAGTCTCTATGGTACACCATAGTGGAATAAAATACTTGCTTCCAATCTTCTATCCCAGAAAAGCCTATGGAGTAATACTTCTATACCTTGTTACATTCACCAAGTTAGTATTGCTTTTCTCTTACCAAACAAAGTTGCTATGAAATGAGCACACACTCTTTCGTCTGTGCAAGCGAATGGACATGACCAGGGTTGCATGCCGAATCAGAAATCCCGAAGCAGGAAAGCACATGTTTTCTTGGCGTTACTAGCTAAATATTAGAAAAGCAACTGTATCAGTTATTTATTGAGAAAAATAAGCAAAGCTTATAGAAAATGCAAAACTGTATCAAAATCACTTTTATTATTGAGAAAAATAAGCACAAAGCTTAGTGCCAACCTGTACTGGAAGTTTTCAAATTCACTCTTAATTTCCTCCTAGAATGGAACACAGGATATAAAACTCCCTGTGCCTTTTACCTCCATCACCCAGTTATAGATCCCTTCCTGGGTCCTCCACAATCCACTCATCCAGCTCCACTACCTGCTATGCCCTGCTTTCTTACTTAATTGTAAGCCTCTTTGTAAAGCCTATGTACATGGCACCATCATTACTGTAACAAATGTCAAGAGTAAACAAGAGGCCTTGCATTGCGGATAGGTCAGAGCCCCAAAATACAGGGCACACAGACCACCGGGAAGGTGAGGCAAGGGGCAAGGGAGAATGGGTGCTGCTGGCTGGGTGCCTCAGAGACGGGCGCACCCACCGAGACCCCGCCATCCTGGAGCGTCTCAATGGCGCACGCCAAGCAAAGCGGCGAAGGCGGCAGCTCCAGGAGCCAGCGGGGGTCGTGCCGCGGGTGGAACCGCTCGCAAACGAGGAGCTCCGCCATCGCCGCCTCCATCCCATTCCCGCTTTCGCTCCCTCTCTCGGATAAGGCAAGAGCGAGAGATTTGGCGGCAAATGTTTGCGCAGGCGCAATGCCTGCCGCGCAACGCAGCGCCGTCCGAAGGAGAAGCCTGCCGCGGAATCTGTAGCGCTTCCGAGGCTGCTGTCTGGTGGCTTCGCGGACTTAGAGCCCACCGACGGAGTCATCCTGCGGAATGGAATGATTATTTGCAGCACAGGTTGATCATTTTCTTTAAAGTTTGGGGGTTTCCCTTCGGTTTTTTTAGTACAATTCTCTGTGTTGAAAACTGCTTAGAAATTCTTATGCTTCGAAAAACGTGGCGTCTAAATCCTGCGCGCCGATAAAATGCACCTGAAAAAAAGGCGCGATCCTAAGCATGCCTTCTCAGAAATCCCAAGGAGCGCATTGTGCTTTATTCCCTAATGACCACTTAAGGAGTGGAAACCCCACTGGACTCAGCGGGTCTTTCTTCATACAAACTGCGTAGAATTGCACTGTCAAGTGAATTGGACCTTAAGGATTGCATCCACATGTGCGCATCCGGGCAGGATTCTAGACTATTCCTCTAGATTTCCCCGAAAGGACTGTAGCTGAGTGGTTACCGGTAAGTACCTGCTTTGTAGGCAGGGAGTCCCAGGTTCAATCTCGGGCACCTCCATGTCGAATTATCCTTCTGGAAATTCGACGCCACTCGGTGTAAGCAATCCTGGACTTAAGTGGACCGATGATCTAATTTAGCATAAGGCAGCTTCCACCGGCCTTGTGGTCTGTAAATTCAGGTTAAACTATTCCTAGCAAGCTGGTGTAATTTTGAGGACGAGAGTCACACCTGTTTTAATTTCTGTCTCGCCGCTGCCAGCTGCACAGGAGTCGGGAACAGGTAAAACCTAAATTTGAATCAAAGCACATTGTGGATGCGGCATACTGTGGATGGACCAGGCACTACATAGTTGTACTCTTGGCTGGCTGGCTCAAAATAACCACCGGATCAATTTCATTAAACGCCTTTATGGAGGAGGCGATCCCGCTAGGCTCCATAGGATTTACTCCCTGGTAAATGCGCATAAGATTGCCGCATCCCCTCTGAGGTCCGGTCCAGTTCCTGAGAGTTTCTTTTCTAGTCCGCCAACGCTAGAGGTCGCAATGGCGAGGTTGTGGGGCTTCGTTTTCTCTCCCTAAGGGAAGGCCTGCGCGGTGTTTCCTGCCCTTTCCCCCTCGACGTCACTTCCAAGAGCGCGCGCGTCTGCCTTGCGTTCGAGAGCGTTGCGAGGCTCTTCCTCCGTGAAGCTTTCGGGCCGAGAGGATCGATCCAGAGCCAGGCGCTTCGAGTGGTTCTTCTGCTTCGCAGACATGGTGAGTGGACTCGGGGCGAGGCGGGCGGAGCAGGCGGGGACCCCGCTTTCCGTCTGCGCTGGGGGTCGCCGAGGACGCCGAGCTGGCTGTACTGGCGGCGGGGGAAGGGGGCGAGGGGGTGGCCCGTGGGAATGTCACACGTGGGGAACGAGGGAGAGGCTTCCCCGGCATGGCCTGCCCCTTTCCTGTGAAAGGGGGGGGCTGCCACGTGCGAAGCAAAGAGGCCTCGGCGTCACTCACAAGGCGGCTGCTTCTTTTAATGTTCAAGTTAATGCGCTTTTTTAAGCAGCTCTGATTTATTGGAGAAACTTCGCCGTCACTCGTGCCGCTTAGAAGCGCCTTTGTAGGCACGTTAGGGAGGCCAGGGCTTCATCTTGGCACCCACGTGCTCCTACTGCCTCGTTTCTCCGGTTCACTACCGCTCTTTTTATTTCGCCCCTCCCCACCACCAACCATCTCATGATCATGCACATAAGAATCAAGCCTTTACCCCCCCCCCATAGGAGCCCCGAGTGAGGTTAGGCCAGTGGTTTTCAACCAGTGTGCTGTGGCACCCTGGGCCTTGAATTATGATCAGGGGTGCCGTGGACAATACTGGCCCCTGACCCTCTTCCCTCCCTCCTCCGATGCCCTCTTGCGTCTCTGCCTCCCAAAGGCCTGCACAGCTGGCTACGAGCTCCACAGGCAAATGGTGCCTCAGGGAGGCTCCTCTTTGGGGTGGGGTTGCAGCTCAAAGACCAGAGGCGGCAGCTGCCCAAAGGACTCATAAGGAGAGGAGGCTGAGGGAACACTTCACAAGGGAGGGTGCTCAAAAAAGGGTGAGAGGCTGCCAGCTCTGCAGGCTAGGGGTGACATAATTGGGCTCCTGAGCCCCACAGGGATGCCGCAGAAGGATGTAGTTGGGTAAGGGACTCGAAAAGGGTGAAAACCTCTGGGTTAGGCAGATTGCATGTGGCTAACCCAAGGATTGTCAGCTAGTTTCATGGCTGAATAACTACTTAGTCTGCCTGGGTTCTGTGGCCAGTATGTATTTTGCCTTTTTCCCTCATTGGCTTGAGAGAAGCTGGAAAAACGGAATACCTGAACAGTGGGAAGTCTCTTTTGAACCAGATGTGGCCCTTCTCACATTGACCTAGCCGTTGTAGGAACTCACAGACTTACAGAACTATCTTAGGTTACACAGAAAGAGGTAGCTGTAACAGCAAATGGTTGAAGAAAGAGAAATTGTTACCTATACCTTGATTCTTTGTTTCCTTCTATAGACTGAGGCAGAAGTGAATCCTAAAGCTTATCCACTAGCTGATGCTCAACTCACCAAGACGCTGCTTGATCTTGTACAGCAGTCCTGTAATTACAAACAGCTACGCAAAGGAGCCAATGAAGGTGAGATTGGGTTGAGCTTGTACCATTAATTGCCCATTCTTGTAGAGCATTAGGTTTGCATTGTCTCTTGTGGAAAAAGTAGTTCGTACTTTGCCTAAATATGCCCCCAAACACCTCTGCCTATTCTGTGGTTGTCATCCTGGTCTTGGTGATTAGGTTAACTTGCTACTATCAGTCCAGACACCCTGACTTTTCCTACTCACTATTCCAGTTCTGCAAATTTGGGGCAGTAGCAGGAAGGTTATCACAAATAAGCAATCTTAGTTGGGGAGATTGTTTTGTTCATGGCCAAAAATTCCAGTGGGCAAATGGAAGTTTTAGGATCCACCCAAAAGTTCTTTGAATCCCTAAGCTTGTCTTTGACAAGTAACGGAAACTTATTTTTTTGTAGTAGCCAAGCAATTATCCAATAGATGGGTACATAAAACCTTTTACATTGGATTTGCCCTCTTAATGTTGCAACTAGCTGCTTGTTTGATTTTACTGAGTGAGTCCTGGCAGAGTGAGGAAATGGGAGTTTTCACTGTACCAATTTCTTTTCCACAGCTACTAAAACTTTGAACAGAGGCATTGCTGAATTCATTGTGATGGCTGCAGATGCGGAGCCCCTTGAGATCATCCTTCACCTCCCACTGCTTTGTGAGGACAAGAATGTGCCCTACGTGTTTGTGCGCTCCAAGCAGGCCCTGGGGCGGGCATGTGGTGTTTCTCGGCCTGTCATTGCCTGTTCAATTACTATCAAAGAAGGCTCACAGCTAAAGCCACAGATTCAGTCTGTCCAACAAGCTATCGAGAGACTATTGGTCTAAATCTTAACAGACCTCTCACTTACTAAACTAAAATAACTCTGTGAAAGATGAGTCTTGTCACTTGTACAATGTTTACTACTGTTTTTGTTTTCTACCAGATCTCCCTTCATTACACTTGCCATTTAGATGTTTAACAAGACGATGTCCAGTCTTTTATTTTAAATTCTTCATTCTGATGCAACTCTCCCCAGTGGAATTTTAGTTAGCCTATCCTTTTCGGCAATAAACAAACTTCATTTGCAGAAGATTAGGCTGAAGATTTGTAAATACAAAACATATGACCTTCTTCTGGTCAATATGATGTTCACCCATTGATGGTGCACATCTTTAAAATACTAGTCCTAATACAACTTGCTAGAACACTGTTAGAAATAAAGGGCAGATGGAATAATATTGTCAAAGGCAGTGGCTTTAACTTTTTATATATATTAAAAACACAATTATGTTTGTATGTTGTGTGATCTCAGTCTTTTGTGTGGTTTAAAATATTTGCTGGATGGCCCGAATATAACAGGATAACTTAGTCACTATGTTTTATATGGGACCAAGTTATTATGAATATAAGCTATCAATGTTTGCATCTTCTGCAAGAGGGAAGAAATAATTCATCGGGTGGTAGTGACCTGGATAAATTCTTCTTCATGAAAACAATCCCCAGCAGCTTCAAACAGACCGGGGATGGGGAACCTTTTTCAGCTCCAGGGCTGCATTCCCTTCTCGGCTGAGAGCCATGTGCCACTGGTAGGTGAGTCCAGAGTGGAAAGTATAATGATCATCATCATCATAATGATAATAATTGCCATAAAGGCAAGGGCTAAGCATCATGTCAGCCTCCTTGGGCCACAACAACTGAAACTAATCCCATGTAATTTGTGCTGTGGACACTTCACTGAATCTGCAGCATCAAGTTCTGCACGAATGCAAGCAACTCTGTGCTCACTATATGTTTATGAAACAGCAAAAGAAACAAGAAGAAAAGCAGGGACAGATATACATAACAAGCTCATTTATTAAGACACATTTTCATTAAGTCTAGAAACAGGTGGGGAGAATGAAGAATTTTCCCATTAATAAATTCTCATTATTACATAGTCTTAACCTCTCAAGAAAAAATAAATCCCTGCTCCCTTTGATCTATGGCTATAAAGATGCTGCACCTCTTTTCCTTGTCAAAATCTTAGGGAGGAGAGTGAGCATAGAACTCTCAGTGCCTACTGAAGTATTCAGTCACAGCATCTAAGAGTTCTTGCTTCTTCGTTCCTGCTGTCAGCTTGTAATTCCTGCACACTTCCTTTAAAACTGGCACAGTCAGTTTACCCAAAGTGCCTTTTTGAACATGATTCCTCAGGTCGTCTTCAGAGATTTCGATCTTTGCTTTCTTTTCTAGTGGTATGGTACCATCCCCTACTGGAAAGAGATTTTTGGATTAATTGTGTGTTTCCAATACCTTGTTATAAATAAAATATATCTTATACAGCCATTACAAAATATCCTGCAACAGTACACTGGCACAGTGTCAAGATAGACTCCTACCTAGCCCATGATAATCCAACCACAATCTGGTGTGATAGAGCAGAAAATGAACTTGGAGGATGTAACTACCTCTCTTTGGGTTCTGTTGCAATCTTACCTTGTTTACGCTTTGTGGTTTTCCCATCCGGATCATAGCCTGGTGGGTAAACTAGTTGTTTGAACTCTTCTGCAAGATTACCCATTCTGCAATCCATCACCTCAACCTTGGGCACTGGAGAATAGGGAGAAAATGTCTGCATAACACACCTCAAAACAGCAAAAATATTCAAATATACAGAAATAATGGTTCTACAGAGGAAACATACAAAACACTGAGCTTTAAGGTAGATAGTTCAAAAGCACAACTGAAATAAATACAAATTATAAAACCATTTTAATTTGGAAAACGGCGTATCTAAGACAAAAGTAAGCCACAATGAAATGGGGAAGCAAAAAGCTAGAATATACTGGAAAGACTGAAGAGCTTAATTTTTGCTAAAGTCTTCATGAACTAACAATCGTTTCCCTTAGCAAAAATGAAGCTTACACTGATAAAGAAGGAACCATAGATCACAGGATAGAGTTGTAAGGGGGTCCCACAAGGATCATCTAGTCCAACTCCCTGCAATGCAGGAATCTTTCACTCAATGTGGGGCTCAAACCCATGACCTTAAGAGTCTCATGCTCTACCAACTGAGCTCCATTGTTTCTATAAGCTCAAGAAAACAGGAGGTCTAAGGCCCTTTTTTATGAGATCCTGATTATTTCATGCGGTCAAAAATAAGATTCAAAACTGAATTTTGGCTATCAGTTTATGACATGAAAGGCACATTGTTGTTCTTATGTAGTCTTTACCCCCAAGGGTGAATTGAGGCAGTGGGTGGTGCCAGAGCTAATGTCTACCCCCCTCTCACATTTATAGAGTGGTACCTCGGGTTAAGTACTTAATTCGTTCCGGAGGTCCGTACTTAACCTGAAACTGTTCTTAACCTGAAGCACCACTTTAGCTAATGGGGCCTGCCGCGCTGCCGGAGCACGATTTCTGTTCTCATCCTGAAGCAAAGTTCTTAACCTGAAGCACTATTTCTGGGTTAGCGGAGTCTGTAACCTGAAGCGTATGTAACCCGAGGTACCACTGTACACTCATTCAAATGTATTCTCACTCACAAATTCTTTCCCCAACACACACAGGCCCACAACCTTCCCCACTCACTACTATTAATTATTATTATTATTAATAATAATAATCACACAGCTGACACACGTTGACATCTCTCCCCACCCACCCCTCTCTCACACATGCCCATGCATTTCAACCTCTCCAGCACTCCAGATTCCCTCAGAGCTTGACAGCAAACTTGGCTGCATCGGGATTACTGGAGAGTAGAGGTTTCAACCTCTCCCTACCCATCCCTATGATCCAAAATGCATCCAGTCCCAATCATAGCTGCCAACTTTTCCCTTTTCTTGCGAGGAATCCTATTCGGAATAAGGGAATTTCCCTTTAAAAAAAGGAAAACGTTTGACAGCGATGGTCCCAATACTGCTTTGGGCTAACAGCAGCATGAGCCAGTATCTTGGCTGCATGGAGAGTGTTGGGGATAGCCGGTTACCCTCCCCTTCACAGCAATCCCAAAGCAGTCAAAATTGCTATATCCATGTGTTGTTCATCAGCACAGAAGGTGGGGGGAACCTTTGGCCTCCAGGTGTTGCTGACGTGCAACTTCCATCAGCTCCAGAGAGCATGGGCAATGGAAGTTGGATGATGGAAGTTGTGGCTCAGCGATTTCTGGAGGACCAAAGATGCCACACACCTGCAGGACGGGAACACCTCTCTTTCCCTCACAATACAGTTGGTGGGTTAATCTGTCAGGCAGTGGTGACAAAATGATTAGGGCTCCCCAGGGTCTCATGTGAGCCACAGGTTACCCACATTTGCTTCAGCTGCAACTCACTTTAGTCTAAAACCTGCAATTTTTTGTATGATGTGCAAACATACCATTGGATTAAACAGTTTGTTGCTTGTGAGAAATTCCAAGGACTGCAACAGGGGGGGAAATGTCAAACTACACTCACTAAATTAGTCTTACCTGTCAGATCTTCAGCTTTTTCAGGTTCCAGTAAGTCCAGGGCCAAGGCCTCCAGGTTCATATAGTGCTGCTGTAAAACCGGATTCTCAAAGCTCTCACTCCTGTTGAAATCCCGGGTTAAAGTATCAATGAGCGCCACTGGGTTGTCCAAGAACTGTTGGCACATGGGCATTGATCCTGCCTTCCTCCCATCTCTACTCACCTGTACTTGAACCGAAGCTTGTGGACTATTTCCATCATTTTGCTTACTTGTTCTTGATTAGCTTGGAGCTTCTCTGTAAAGTCAACTTTCCGTTTGTCGTCCGCATAAGGTAGGAAAATTAGATGAAACCCTAAATAGAGGGAACGAATATATAAATGAGAGAAATGAGATACTCAAAAATGTCCCCAAATGCTCAGATCTCTGACAAATGATCTACAGATCTGGTCACATTATCATTAGAGTTGCCACTTAGATTGAAATCAACACGTGAATGCTTGATTACTAACTAAAACTACCAATTATGAACTAGTTGTTTTGAGTGTCAGTGAATGAGAACGTTTTGAAGACAACAGAATAATTTGTCAGAATAGGGACATAATGTGCAAAAGACATTAACAGAGGCAGACCAGAAAAAAGCTACAGCATGTCTTAATTTATTTTATTAGAAACAACTCAGAATAAGACATCTTTAAATACCCATAGTGAGAGCAATAAGCCAGGAAAAATATTATGATATACTACTTAACCAAAAAGTAAAATGTATTTCACCCCACAAGCAATTAAGGAATTTTTTTTTACCGTTATTGATAAACATTTCTGGTCTGCATTCTGGTTTTGCTCTAAAACTAGTCCACAAATAACAGTATCTCATGATAGAGATGCCATCATCTCAGCTAGAAGATAGAAATTCTGGTTCTGAGAAACATCACATAGGCTAGGAAGAAGATCTCAACAGCTTCTGAGATATAGCTTATGGAAGTTTGCAAGGTGAAACAGGCAGAGCCAAGATCCCACACACAAAACATGGAGACTTTGAAGGAGTTTGGGGAAAGGAAAGACTGGAGGCTGACAAGGATCTTTGCCTGGCCCAAAAATCTGTTCTTGAGAGTTAAGAGTAACTTCCAGAATAGGGTGGTATTAGGTGGCAGGCAGGACTCTGTGCACTGAGCGAAGAAATTGGTGGTATTTGGATTACCTTACAAAAGCAGAAATTTTCTCACTAAGGCATCTCTGGGTCCAGTCTTGTTAAGTCTGGAGGAACTAACCTGATGCAATTAAATAGTGGGATATTGAAATGAACCCCAAAATTATCTTGTGTGTTATTGATTACCTATCTGTAGGAGATGAGATACCCTTAATGAGTTCATCAGAAGCAGCCAAAGTAATCCAAACCATACACTGGAAACTATATAAGACACCAGTGCATAAAAAGTAATGCTAATATTATACAAGATGGGGGATAAATCTATAGCCACTCCATGCTGCTCATCAAAGTATAAACCTCCTCTCCTTAAATCAGATGGCAGAAAAAACTTCTGACAGTGGTAGAACAACACCACACTAGCCATCTGTAAGACAGAAATGCCAACAACTCGTTACCTGAGGGGGCCACCTGCACATTCTGCTCATCCAACTCTTCTTCCTGAGGAACCAGGGCTATAAAGCGAGGAGGAGTGTTCCGACGCGGTGTGTACCTGCATACGGCCATCACCCCTTTCTCCAGACACTTTGTCAGCAGGGCATTAAATAATGTGGTGCTTCCTAAAAGCAAAAATCCATGCTTGTTACTTTAATGAAACAACTCTGGTTGGCTCAAAACACATCTGAAATAACTACATCAAGCTTCTGCAGAGGACTATATGCAAC